TTGTTGCAACCTTTTGCACTTTCTCAGTTTCTTCCGTCTTGGCTAGGTGGGGGTTCCAAAGGGTGCCGCATACCCAATGGGGGGCCTACGTTACATGTACAGGGTCCTAACGTTCCTTATTAAGATGTGGAATGTTTTTCTGGGGTTTGTAGGCCCCCCCATATGCGCGGCAGTTATTTTTGGTTGAGTGCGCTTCAGGAGATGTGCCTGGTGTTATCTCACCCCCAAAATCTTTTTCCTTGAGTGGGTTTTTAGTCCCCCTTGACCCCCTAACTGTACTCCGTCCCGCGGCCTTCTTTGCCCTTCCCCAATCTTTAGACTTTGCATTGGGGATTGAACCCAGGGGGCCAATTGCTGGGCCAGGGCTGCAGCCTGTCCAGATTTCCTTTGGGTTTTTTGCCCGGGGCTTCGATCGAGTTATTCTTCTCTCAAAATTCACTACTGCCCAAAAAGGGGAAACCCCAGAGTTATTTTTCCTTCCTCATGTCGTTCACAAATACCAGAAACAGCACTGGTCCCAGACTGACCCTGGGGACCCCCCGGGGTCACAGGTGCCCCACTCTGAACTCCTGGTGTGTGTGTGTGGGTGTTGGTGTGTGATGTTTTTGATGAGTTTTGTTTAGTGTTGTGATATTGTTGATTTTATGGATGAGTGTGGATTTGGGGGGAGTTTTGTGTGGTGAGTTGTTTGAGTGAGTTTGTTGTGAGTGAGTGTGTGCAATGATGTGGTGTGTTTTTGAGTGTGTGTGATGATGAGGTGTGTGTGAGTGGTGTGGGTGTGAGTGAGTGTGATGTGTGGGGTTTGTGTGGGGAGTGTGTTTGTGTGTGAGTGGTGTGTGAGTGAGTGTGTGTGAGTGAGTGTGGGGTGAGTAGTGGTGTGTGGTGAGTGTTGTGAGTGGGGTGTGGTGAGTGTGGTGTGAGTGAGTATGTGTGGTGTGTGGTGTGAGTTAGTGGGTGAGTGTGTTGAGTGAGTTTTGTGATGGATTTTGGGGTGTTGTGTGTGGTGTGGGGTGGAGGTGGTAGGGGGGATTGAGGGGTGGGAGGTGGGAGTGTGGTATGGGTGTGGGTGGAGTGTGTGTGTTTGAGTGGGATTTGTGGGAGTGGTGGAGTGAGTGTGTGTGTTGTGAGTGTGGGGGAGTTGGTGAGGGGTTTTGAGTGGTGTGATGGGTAGTGTGTGTGAGTTGAGTGGTTGAGTGTGTGTGGGGTGGGGTGGGTGTGAGTGAGTGTGTGTGAGTGGGTGTGAGTGTGGTGAGTGTTTGTGGGGTGAGTGTGTTTGAGTGAGTGTGTGGGGAGTGTGTGTGGTGAGTGTGTGGGTGAGTGTGGAGGGGAGTGAGGAGTGGAGAGAGAGAGAGAGAGAGAGAGGGGGAAGAGAGAGAGAGAGAGAGAGAGAGAGAGAGAGAGAGAGAGAATCTGAGGACAAATCTGCAAAACACGGGAGGTGCAACAAATCCTACCCACCCCCCCAGGCCCCTGGGCTGTGCTCTCGTGTCACCGGAAGGGGACACTGCCAACAACTCCCGCGAGTACCAGGTGTAATTACTGCAAAAGAAAGGACATAGGAGGCCCATGTCGGAAAAAAAAGGGAATTTGAAAACGGGGCCACCTTTTTGAGACCTGTTTAGAACAAACCCGCAGGATCTCTGAATGGGAAAACCTCACATCACCCCTTAGTACTCCTACCCCAGCCCAGCAGGGTGGGTTGTGCCTTTTACAAGCCCAAGATTTACACCCCTGCAGCTCCTCTTACCCTACCTTCTCGGGGAGGCACCTTACTTTCCCTACACACCCACCACCCAAGCTGACCACTTCATCATGAGGAGCCGTCTATCACATCCTGTGGGGCCAAAACATTAGGGTTTCATTACTAATTTGGAAGCTCCACATAGTTTTGTAAAAACACTCGACGTCCCGACTATGCTGTTTTGAAACTTTTTTGGATGACGGGACTCCAGAAAATTTTTGAAAGAATTGCGGGGCTACACTTCATGGATGAAAAGAGACAGGCAAGGGCAAGGGGGAGGTGTTGCTGTGTGCTTCTCTAAAAGTGTTCATCCCCACAAATTGATGTTGCCCCCCCCTTTACCATTTTGAAATGATGTTCTTAAACTCTGTAAAACACTATACCTCGTACTAGCATGTGCAAGTACGACCTCAGGGGAAAACTCAGCCCTATCAACTTCCAAAAGAAAAATATTGACCCCCTTCTGCTACAACACAACGTCAACTATTTATAATTGTTGGGACCTCAACCGACCTTATACAGAGGGACTTTGTGCCCTTCTTGCAGTGTTTGACTGAGAAAACTTTGTTGTTTTTCCCCTCCATACTCTGGCTCCTCCCTTGCCCCAGTAGGAGTGATTGGCAAAAGGCATAGTCATTGCAACCCCGGGGCTATTTTGGGACGTCTGACCACAAGGCTGTTTTTAAAACCCTTAAGCCCCAACAGAACGAGGTGAGGAGCCACACGCAAAACCCTGGCTATGGAAAAAGAGGAAATTTGGCCACCCTTTGCTCGGGCTCGCCCCCCCGACGGGGAATGCTTTCCCCAAAGGGGGTGTTGACAACCAATAAAACCCTTCACTGGAACTCTTAATTACAACAAAAACACTTTTTTCCTCAGGGGAATATTGACAAAACCTACGATCAGCCTTGGTTTGGTTTTCTTTGTAGAGAGGCTGCTACTGTAAGTACGAAGCGGCGAAGGTAAAAGAGACACCCCTACCACCTATAACAGGAACTTGCACATGCAAGCCTGTAGGCATTGGGTGATGTTAAAAAAGTGGGCCTTGAAAAAGGGGAGGGGGACATAAAAGAAAGTTAGATCAGGTGGGGTAGGCCCCAAAACCTGGGGGTCCCTGGTCAAGGACAGAAAAGGTTATCTGCCTGATGAACTTATTTCACCTTTAAACGACAGGAGGGGGACCACTCTACTGTAGTCAAGAGAAGGCGACCTTTTGCTGAAACTTTTGCTACCAAAATGAAGTTCCGATCCGAAAGGGGACCCCCCTTTGGGGCTAGCTGCAAGAACTGTGTCAAAATGTCAGTGGTGAAAAATAAGGCGGGAGGGGGTGCTTTTCCTATTAATGCTTGACAAAAAAAAGGCTGTGGGCCAGAAAAGTTACCCCAAATTGTTGAGAAGATGGCAGACCAGCTACAGCACCTCTAATCGCATCTTTAGCACTGCCTAGTACAGTGTAAAGGGCCCCTCTCTATGGAAAAAGGAAAGTAGTCCCGTTCACAAAAAAAAGGAGAGCAAAATCAGCAACTAAGACCAGTGTCACTCCTGTCATCACTTTAAAATCTTGAGACAATAACTCAAAACAAAAAGCAGAGTTTTTTTGATACCCTCCCCTCTTTTGATTTCAATAGGCTTTAGGAAAGGTTACTCTGCTCGATCTTTGTTAAACCCCCCAAAGTGGCACAGCACTGGTGAACCAAAGTCATGTGTGGTAGCACGGCGTTGCTGGCGCTTTCGACGGGGGTGGCACCAGGGGGCCCTTAGCAAAACTTCAAACACTGGGAATTCAGGGTCTACGCTTGTCTCCCCGTGATTTCCTTCATGGGAGTCTTAAGTGTAGTTCTCAATGGAATGGAATCAGCAAAACATCCCATTGGGGGAAGTGTTCCACAAGGAATTTTGCTGGGTCCATTGTTTGGAATGCTATTCAACGACCTTCTTCACTCATCCCCGAATCAAAGATATGCAGAGACTGTACATGACATTTACTTATCAAGAGAAGAAATGCCGTGCTCTAATAATCAATCACCAGCTAAGCTATATCAGCTTGGGAAATAGATGGGAAGTAACATTTGCACCTGGAAAAACCAAAAAAGATATCGTTCTAGGCCCCTGTGGTAAAAGTGGTGAGTAGTAAGGATAATGGGAGGTGTTTGGGACCTGGAAAGAAGTTTTATATCCTTTGGGGTGAAATTTGCTTTTCCAAAAATAAAAATGAAGAACCTGTTTTAAATCTTTTCAAACAAGGCAGCAGGAACTTCACACTTTGCGTACTCCCCTCTCTTTACAGTAGGGGTTGCAAGATCCTGTACGGGCCAAATCGCTCACACCTTAGTATGCTCCCCTTTTTGGTTTGCCGCCCCCCCCCCCCCCCCCCCCTTGCACTGCTTACAGAGTAGGAAAAAGAGCAAAACGTTCATCTCCCCTGGACCCATTGGATAGTCGTCATTTTAGCAGAGCCTTCAAAATAGGAGGGATGTGGGGGGGGGGCCTTTTGTTATTACAAGGCCAATTTGTCAAAAAACCACATTGGTCCACTTTGAGGACAGCGTTTAAACAAGCTTTTATGCCACAAAACGGGAAAAAAGCAGCAACTTCACTCTGGCGTACCCTTCTCCGAACATTTACTCCATCGAACATACAAACCCCGGAGCTCCCAGTATGGAAAAACCCTTCGTACACTTTAAAGATGTCAAGAGATAGCGTTGATCAAATGAAAATGCTCCCACGTGGCTCCCCTTCATCCTGTTCCCTACTTTTTGTCTCATAACAATAAAAATGCTTTCAAATGAGCTGATGTAGGTAACAGCTCTTAGCTTGCCAATAAAGTTAGGAATCCTTAACCTGTAAATAGCTGTCAATAAAGCTAGAGATCCTTAACATTGTCAAACCCTGTGTAAAATAAAAAAAAAAAAAAAAAAGAGAGAGAAAGTGCAAGCAAGCAAGCAAGCAAGCTAGATAGGAATGGGTTAAAACTGAAATATTTTTTCAACACATTTCATTGGAAAGGATGAAAATCTTCTTAAATACTATGGGGCAACATAAGCTAAACACTAAGAATTAGATTCAGCAAGAAGTAAAGTTTTGCAGACTTAATTTCAGGACTTGTATCTTTAAGAAATTATCTAGAGAGCTGGAAAGCATGGGAGTATTTCTACACAAATAAGGTAATATTTTTAAACAATACAAATATTTTTGTTTTGTCCATATACATTTTAAGTCATTGATCTCTGCTGCATAATGCTTTGTTATGCACTTGCAGGTGGAGATAAGGTTCCCTCGTGGAGATGACTCAAACACTGTTGTGATAATGGGGACTCAAGAGAACATTGACAAGTGTAGGAACCTCTTATTTAACATGATGGAAGAATATAAGCAGAACATCACTGATGAAGAAGATATGGAAGCATATAAATGGCTCATCCGTCACAGGGATCCTTCTATGGTGGTTCTTGGGGTCAAATCATAGCAGAGGTAAGCTATAATTTTTTCCAGTTTGTTAAGCTGTATGCAGGTGATGTAACCTTTGCTATCCTCTACTGGTAGTAACGTGAGAAACCTCATGGAAAATGAAATCAATATTGCTTGGAACTAGATACAGTAGCAAGGCTTAATATATTGTGTGAATCAATGTACTGTATTTATGCTCATGATTTAAAAATTTTATTGACTGGAGTGCTGATTCATCTAAAATTCCAGACTCTGAGAATCCCATAGATCATTAATTTCCCAATGTCATTCGTCACTAACCCTCTAATTGATTAAGGCTTTTGTTGCACCTCTAATCCCATCACAAGATTTGTTTTGGAAGGATACTTAGAGGATTAGGGACTCCACAGAACAAAATTAACATTTTGAAGCTATTTGTGGGCATATGAATAATTTTGATTGCAATTTCTTACTAGATATTTGACTTGTCATCTTTTTTTTAGGTTGAAAATCCACACACTGCATGCACCAGGCAGTAATTGGCTCCCCCCTCCCCCATCTCTAACATGAGAACTACCATTTGCCTGGATGACAGTGCCTTAGATTGATCTGTCTCCTCTGACAAAGTTGCTGTGATAGCCTTGTAACTTAACCCTTAAACGGTCCAAACAGATCGACGTTCAAATTCGTATTGCTACAAAAGTAGATCTACCTTTTTATATATATTTTGAAATATAACAAAAAAAATGTAGATAAAAGTTTTTTTACACGTTTTCAAATGTAAAACAAAAAACAAAGATCTTCATTTTTTTTACATACTTTCAGATGTTGAAAAAATGTATATATATGTTTGGACCATTTAAGGGTTAATTCAACATTATGCCAACTCAGCCTCAGCCTTCCTGTGTTTAAGCATCTTAATATTACACTCTTTATCATTCTAACAAACTTGTGAAAAGAAGATATTTTATTTATATTATTAATTTTGATGGTTAGTTACTCATGATAACCCAGGAAATTAATTGAATTTAGCTTATTAGGTAACCTCGAAAGGGGACCTTTAAGAGGTTGCCAGAATTTTTTTTTCTTCCTCCAACTTTTGAATTTTATGTAGCTCATTACGCAAGAATGCCTCATCCAGTCAGTTTTAAATTTTCAGCACTTGTATATGATAACATGGACCAATTCCTTGGAACAGTTGATGTGTTCATGTGCCTTATAACCAAAGATATTTGAACCCATTCCCAGCATCCTGGAATAACTTCCAAAATCCTCAGTGGCAGAGCTTCATATATTCACAAAAGGTACCAAAAAATGCATTGACAGTAGGGAGTGAAATTCAAATGTGCAGATGAATATTTGATAATTTTGTGTGTAATAGTGTGAAATTTTTATTACCATTCAATCATGTTAAATAAACAGCTTCAGTATTTAATAACTAATGCATCTTAGGGCCAGTATATTACCTATTAAGTTTTGTTTATGTGCAGGCAACTTGTTGTATTAAAATAGTAAAAAAATTGAATCTGTGCCATAACTGGAGAATGACTCATCTGATCAGCTTCAAATTTTTCACTAGTGGTGTGGCTCCCTTAACACAAGGCTGGCTCTTGCAGTCATTGTGTGGCATAAGTCCCAGTTTGATAAAATATTACTGACACATTTTATGCATCAGTAATTTTGCCCATTTTGAGTCCTATTTTAAGTCAACTCCATTGCTCCAATCAACTGAATTCTTAGCTATTTCAACAGTGTGCCTTCCATTCAATTGATTGTGCATAAGAAACTGCCCATTCATCTATTACAACTACCCTATAATGTTGGTAATTTAGCCAATTTTACACCAAATTAGAAAAATACCAGTTTAAGAATATAGTCCAAAATAAACATTGTAGACATTCCTAGCACTAAAACATTTCTTCTGTTCATTAGTCAGGGCCCCAAGCCTCTCCTATATTACACTTGCCTTCCATTTTGAATTCATAATTGCAACAATAGCAGATTTACTCTATTTCTTGGATAATAAAATATAACCAGGAATGATTGATCATGATTTACAGCATCTCAATAACTGAATTAGAATTACATATTAAAAACTCAATAAAACACACAGGACAATAAAGCCATAAAAACTCTCCTAGAAAAATGTCTCGAAGTCACACAATGTCAGCGTTTTCCTTTTCCTACCGTGCACTGCATAGGGCAGGAATTTTATTTTTTATACTGTGCATAGTCACTGCACATACCCATTTTCTCATGAATGAGCTGAGCCCATGCCATAGAATTACATAAGGGACCCTGGCCTCAGTGACATAGTTCTATGTAACAGCCACTGAAAGGGTTAACTAGCCACACACAATATAAGTTTGGTCCAGATAGGTGCAAATTTGAAATTTAAATGAAATAGTTAAAAAAATTAAAATCGTTCAAATCAGATCAGTTACTGAAGACTGCTTATTTTGATCAGCTTCTAACTTACTATTGGTGAGCTTTATTAAGCATGGCTTCTTACTCACTTTGAGCTGTGTACATTTCACTTTGGAAATTTTTTCTTATGTAATAATTTCAGATCTCAAATGGTGGTACTTCTTAATAAGTATGGGTTCAAATTTGTCATTTTTTTTTTTTTCCAATTTTATCAAATTTGGTTTTTCAAAAATTCTACAGAATTGTAGAGATTTAAATGGAATGTAAATGTGAAGAGCAAACTGGAAACAATCTACGGATTTATGGTATTATTTAGTTTAATGAAGGGAGACTTTCCTGTTGAACATTTTCAGAAAGTTTTTAATTTATTACTCAAGAACACCTTGTATTAATGTTGATAGAATTATCAACAATATGTTAAGTAAAAGGACAAGTGCAACTAATGTGATATTTTATTGTGGCAACGTTTCACTCAAGCCGTTAAAGCTTCAGAATTTCAACACTTGTGTAATGTATTTTGGGCAGTATTCATGGGATTATTTTCATGCATGGATGCCCTGTTACAATGCTTCAAAAGCCATTCCTATATTTTTGTTTCTGGAGAAAGACTCCGCTGGTCAGTCATTTCAATATTTTAACCTCAAAATAGTATGTATATGTACTAGTTTTATTTTACCTTATTGCATTATTTTGCCCTTTGATGCTGGTTAGGGGCTCTTGATCCAAGGTATTGGACTTATCCTCTCCTTGCTTGATTCAAATTTGAATACCTCCCATTTTACAGGCAATATATAACCCCTACATGTTTAGCACTTTCCTTTGATCAAAATATGTCAATTGTGGCTTATATACCATAGGCACGAGAGGTGCAGCAGTCGTAGGTGGTGTCACATTTATCCATTGTAGAAGTAGGTCGTGCCCAAGGGTTAGACAAGCGAAGAATTCCCAAGTATTAAGATCCCAAGAAGTTGCAGTGTCTGACAGGATTGTAGATGAAGGGATTCAGGGAAACCGGTTATTTTATATAACTGGACTTGAGTCCTGGAAATGGGAAGTACAATGCCTGCACTCTAAAGGAGGGGTTTGGGATATTGGCAGTTTGGAGGGATATATTGTGTATTTTTTATATGTATATACTTATGGAAAATTTTATAGGGGTGATTACCTGTATGTACCTCAACATTACATGCATACGAGTAATCTCATTGGGAGACAACAACTACATGTATATGGTTTACCGTAGTCACCCCGTGCAGACATGTGAGAAAACTTAACCACCTCTGGTCACTGCAGGTGGCCCCCTCGGCCCTCACAATCTTATCCATATCTATCCGAGACCAGTATAAATTGGATAGCACCCACAAGTACGGCGCTACTAATTAATTGTGGACTGTATAGATTATATTAGTTTAACTGAATGAAGGGGGGGGGGGTAGGTTACACATGGATATATCCATCAAGGAAAAACACTTGTACATAATCCCACCACTTACCAGATATTCTCTGGTGGTCACTTTGATGTAGCTGGATCACCCATAACCTATCCAATTACAACATATCCAACTGGCCAGTATCAGTCTGCTATAACTAGAAGGGTTACTTAACTGTGGGTGATTGATGCTCCTTATTTCCTCCATTCACCATCTCATTTCGATGTCCTGCTACACCGACACGGTTCTTGTTCCAGCAGGACGAGGTATCCGTTGGTTTGTCCCGGTTTAGAAGTCGTGACTCCATAAAACTTCACTATCCTCGGGACGGGAACAACGCGGTCTAACGTGTTCACTCGGAGCAAGGCGACTTATTTCACTTCACGCATTCTCTAAACTTAGTGTTATTATCATTAATTACATTACAATTCACAAGACGATTTAATGCCTCATAATTATTATACACATTAGAGGTCACTCCATTAAGATCTGAGACCGATGAGTGAGGATTAACTCACGGGTAATTTTCCCTGGACACATTCCATGGCAGCGCACCCGTCACCCCAGGTCCTACCATTATTCACTAATTTTATCACTTTTTACAGCGGTGCCATCAATCACGTTCCCTCACTCTTCACCAGGGACAGTCACAACACTTCCTATTATGAAGTGAGCCCTATATTAATCCTTAGGCCACTGTGAATGCCAATTTCCTGGTCCCATGTTTTCACAGCCTCTTAAACCCATTCAAAACACTGCCGCCTCCCCATGCCCTGTGTCGACCTGTCTCCCGCACATCCGCGCAGGTGCAGAGGGAACTGTTGGTTCTATTCTATTTTCAAATACATTTTTGACCCAAATCAACACATTAAACACCTATTAGGCACTATAGCTTCGGAAAATTAAAATATTTTCCACAATACTTCTAAACTGTTGTATTCTGTGCACCTCTGCAAAAACAGTGATTGTGTGTGAGTGAGGTGAAAGTGTTGAATGATGTTGAAAGTATTTTCTTTTTGGGGATTTTCTTTCTTTTTGGGTCACCCTGCCTCAGTGGGAGACGGCCGACTTGTTTAAAAAAAAATAATAATATAATATCTTTCTTTACTACAA